TTTAAATTTATATCAGAGGGTTTGCTAATGTTACACTTTTGCGATGTGTAATATAATATAAAAGATACGTTTTCCATCTTCCCGTCTGGCATAATATAAATGTAAAATAAACGTGGGAGACCGTAATTTACACTACAAATGCAAAAGTTGAAAGTCTAGTTACGATTCAAATGACTTAAGCAAATTTTCGTGTATCCCTTTATTTGGAATTATTATTCATAATGCATCTGCATAATGAGACGTTCGGATTTATAATCAAAAGAGACCGCGGAAACCCATTAAATATATTTGAATATTTTTTAATCAAAGTTGATGCTCGCGGTGTAAATATACGCGAATAATTTGTCACGATCTCGAATGACGAGATTTACCGGGAAATTACATTGACGTATTCCAATTCCCCCAAGTGATAGATTATTCTGCATATCGAGAGCATCCCTCAGACGATGTCAAATTGCAAGATCAAGTACATACAACATATTAGTTACCAGCAGCAAAGCCATTCAATCATCCTCTCGACCTTAATCGTACCGACACCCCAATTGACTTGTTGGCCTAATCTCTCCTTGTGTTGGTTCTCCTCCTCCTGCGACACCCCATGGGTTTGTTGTCGATTAAAATATACGCGCATACAACAAAAAACTAACGATTCCGTCTAACAAGCCTTTGTAGTTCGGAACTTCTTTGACCCAGATTGGATATGCCGATTTTCTCTGTTTCGTTAATCCGTTGCCGCTCTAGTTTTCTTCAAAACTCCCAGTAATTGCTGTCGCTAAAGCATTCATGTGCTCGTCCGCGACAAAGAAGAAGCGCGTCGTTGCGGCTCTCCCGCGATTACATTGTGCTCTCGTCTATTTCTCATCTCGCAATAACTGTAAAATAATCTCCGAGGTTCGTTAATTGTATGTCGATTTGGCAACGATGCGTTTAGAAACCGTAATTGCGTTTGTGCGGGATTTTCTGCCATATGAGCATTCAAAAAATCTATTAATTACAAACAGAAATAATGAGGAGTTTGATCAATTTTTGGAAAACGTATGCTTGTAGCTTAATTATACTAATTGGCGTTGAATTGTTATGGAGTACAACAAAAGTACCTCTATATTAGTGAAAATCTGTGCAGCTAATGCGCTACAATTTAATCAAAAATTCACCGTTTGCATGTTATTATTGTTATTGGTATAATTTTAATATAAAATTACGGAATTTCGGGGTGTATTCGCGGAACACATTAATTATTTTTCGGGTTTAATTAAAGAGCTTATACGAGTGCATACGCGTCGATCATATTGCGCATTAACGTAGGCGAAATTAAATTTCGTTACGGGAATTTATGCATCAAAACGTTTTGTAAGTGCATTATAAAACCTGTTAATTTAATGCGGAGTCGGTTTATCGAACTAAACCTGCTTTGTTGCTTCGTTGTCAGGTTGTCGGCCTGCGTGGATGCAGACAATTGCCACTAGGCTTCTTGTATATCGAACATTTACGTTGTGGTTTCAATTTGCAGGTGCTTGAAAGAGTTTGAATAATCTCCAAAAGCTTTATGGTATTTATTGGTTAAAGAACTATGTAAAGTTGGTGCTGAGCGTTCAATATTGAATATACATTTTAACATTAATTGAAATGGAAATTCAAAGAAATTTAATTATGAAATTCAATGCTGTAAAATTGTAAATAATTAGATATTTTTAAATAATAATTAAATTACGGTATACAATTTAAATCGTATTCCTATTTGATGTAGATATGTATACATATAATTGTTACCAACAATATTCTAAAATATAATTAATTGAAACTAAATAAAATTAATGTTAATTAACTTTCATTTATATTTAAAATAGAGCGCAAATAATAATCGATATAATATCTAACACACTACAGGTATAGAAACATATTTCACGCTGAATAGATTACTCTGTAACCTAAACGCAACACTAAAATAATTTACTTATTCACATCGAGTCGCGTTTTAGCACTCCATCTCAAAATGGAAATTACCAATTACTTACCCCATTAAGCCGTTAAAATATTGAAATCACCCCCTTAGGGACCGGCTAAGGCTTGCACATACACCTACATACCGAAAACGCGGTTGATGCATAAAACAAAACGTTCGAAACCCGTACGAACTTGTCCAGATGATGTTTCCTGCTCGCCAATCTCACGGAATATTTTCATTCCGATCGAGCTTAATGTATGCGAATTTGAAGCAGGAATTAAACCCGATTAGGTACAAGTAACGTGTAAATTCTTTCGCTTCGCTATTGCATTTCGGGGTTTACGTAACGGCATCAAAGCGACCTCGCCGATCGTTAATTACCACCCCGTTTCTGCGGAACAAATTACCGACGGTACAACGATTGTTCGAACGACAATCAACACTCAATTTCGTACACGGGATGCTTAACGTTACATCCTAACTGCTACATTCTAGGTACACGTCGTATCCGCGTGTTTACAACCGCCCGGATGTGTTCCTGCCGTAAGTATTTGCGTATATACGCTCTAATCCTTCGATAAACCGGGAACAGCCGCTGCCTACCGGATATACACCTACCTCATCCCTTAAATTATACACAAGCGGACGCGTTATTACGCAAAATTGTATTACCTACTATTATCTACCTGGCAAATTTTAAAAAGTTTGGTTCTTAAAGGTAGGCAAGTGATAATGGAGCACCTTCACCAATTCAGACTCTTAATATACAAGCGATTTTTCTTTAAACTTGTCCACCATAATTTGAAATCCGCGAGTTTTTAACACAGGCTCATCCACCATAAATTTAAACCTAAGTGATGTTTTGTAGAAGCTCCTCCACCATAAATTTAAACCTAAGTGAATTATGTATAAGCTCCTCCACCATAAATTGAAACCCAAGTGATTTTTGTATAGGCTCCTCCACCATAAATTAAAACCTAAGTGAATTTTGTATAAGCTCCTCCACCAAAATTCATAAGAAAGTTTCCACAAAACTTATTTTTTCATAAGCATCCGCTATAATTTTAATTACATAAGTTCCGAGTGTGGACGACTCAAGCTCCTCCAGTCGTAATATTAATTAAAAGTAAAGCGAAATTCCGTAAAGAGGAAATTTCGCTAGTCCGGCTCTGATTGGATGTACCTACATTCATACGGATTCTGCGGCGACCGCCTCTTACGAATAAATACTTCCGCGCAAAACTAATCCCAACTGCATACGTGCCTGTTAATCCCTAAAACAAAGCAATTAAAACGACTCGCGAGATCACAATCTACGTGGCGAAATTGAAGATAGTAGCTCGAAAATACATTTAACTAACGAAATTCGCAATTTGTTTTATTAGCGGCGTTTCAAGCGGAAGCAGTTCCGGTATTTGCGTTGCACGTGACGTTTACTCGATGCTTTAATTAACGCTTTATTAGCGCAGTTTTCGCGATCACCGTGTACATTCGTGCGGCGACCGCTAACGGATCGTTCGGCTGGTTCTTATTCATCGGGAGGAAGCGCGGCCGGCCTACCGCAGCAGCGGCAATTAGCAGGATGTAGCAGGATTCTCCTAACTATATTTCATTTGTTGCGAAGGAAACGTTGCTTCGCTGTGGATGCCGAGTAAGCTTCACTGCTCACTTTGAAGCGAAACTAACTAATGGTTTATCCTGCTCTTTTTTTTTCCTGCGAGAAAACGCATTGATATATCCTCTTCAACGTGCCGTTAAACAACCATTAATTCGAAAACGTAATATACGTTACATCACTAGTTGAAGTACTACATATCGCTAATTAATTCGCCTCTAACAAATGAATGTTTACTTTAAGGTTTTCGGAGATGTAATTTAATCGAGCATAAGACAGCAAACGTTTCAACGAAATAAAGTTTCCTTATCTCTACGAGGAGCCCTTCGGGATGTTTCTTTGCATAAATTAGATTCAGTAATTTTTCCTTGCAACATATTCGCGAAATTACGTTAGTTTGAAAACTGCAATTTACGTGACAATGTAAGCATGTCAACGCTATTTTCTTAACTGGTGTGATTCCGGATGCGGTGAAATTGCTCGAATTTTTAACATATTTAAGTTATGTTGTTGAAATTATGAAGGTTGTTCTTACATAAGTTTTATTTAGGGTAAAATAAATCGATTACTCAGAGATTTGTGATGAAAATAGAACGAAGATGAAAACTTTTTATTTGCTGGTAATTCTACAGAAAACGTAGTAACGCTATCCATCAAATCTGTCTTGGACAATCCATCCTATGCACACAAATATTAGCGACGGTTAAGCAAACACAATCCTTGTCATGTCCTTGTAAAGCGAGCTGGCTATATACCCGTTATATCTGAATTGCGCCCGCAAACACTCGCCCATTAATTTGCTTAGAAACTCAGAATGTAATCTAACGCTCCGCTTTTACTTTTCTTCGTTAATGCGCTCGCATTTTTGATGTATTAACTCAATAAACATCGGAATTTTTAACGGCCGTAAGTTTAACTGGAAATTAGCATATTTCGGTTAAAATAAAACGATTTAAATCCGCCGGCGTTTCCTCGAGGAAAAATTCCAGTTTAGCGAAGTTAAATTACTCGGCAGATAAGTTTCGACTATTAAGAATTCATTTTTATACTTCGAAAGAAACGCAAAGCCGACGGTAACTATATAGACCGAAAACTAAAAGTTCCCGGCACGAAAAATATCGTCGAAAATCTTTTTAAAGCGGTCTAGAGACTGGAAAACTATACGGCCTGGGCCGTTCGAGTTTTATGGCTTCGGCGAAATTGAATTCGCGAAGTATGTCAAAAGAAAATACGGACCCAACTTTTCGGTTTCCCGATACAAGTTGGCTTTTATGAAGAGAGTTTCCGGAGTATATTACAGTTATGAAGCGATTCTGATTGTTTCATAAACAATTCCTCATCGATTTTCCTATACAATTACGTCAATTTCGTATGAATTTTCACTTGAAGGTTAATACGAAATTAGCCTCAACATTTAACCTGTTACGTATTGACAAATTTGACAAATTTATGGTGTTACAATGTGCTTGTTCGAATCGTTTTTCGAGCCGAAAATATGCGAATCCGTGTTTCTGGATCCCGTGGATCGGGCGGCTTTAACCAGAGCTCAAAATCCAACCAGCCGTCCGATAGAAATCGAAATCAAATTTCCCAAGAGGCTGAAGAAATTAACGGGGCAAACGTCGTCTCTGTCCCAACCGAAGAGAGTTTTCGTGATCATGGAACCGTCGGAGACAGCCAGAAATGTCTCTAATGCTCAACCATTACCGTCGTCTTCGATCAGCTTGAGAATACCGAAGAATCGAGGTTCGTTCGACCAGGAGCCCAATAAAATATGCACCGGTATCGACGTAAACAACCAAATTGACTCAGACAATAATAAGAAATTCAAAAACGGATCCAACGGAGCGGAAGAGTCTGCGAAAAACACTTCGTACTCGGAATTTTCGGATGAAAGTCTGTCCAAATCGTCGAGAATTTTTCGACAAAATAAACAGAAGGCTTCATGAACTTGTGTTACTTTATCATTAAATGTGGTGGTTATAGTGGGTTCTCCAATATAATCTAAATTAGTGAAGTTCTTATAAGAGCCACTGTGATGGCTATTCCTTTAATTATATCCTTAGAAAATTCTTGAATTAAATAACTTATGTTTTGGGTTGTCCCAGTGGCTATATCCGATCCCCCTTAATGTGACCGAACGAAATCTTTTAATACAGTAAACTTGGAATACCATAAATTTATTAAACGACTGCTTGTTTGATATCTCTTTGATTATCCGAGCAGAGTTCTAAAAACTCCCGACTCTCTCCGAAAACTCCTAACTACATCCTTTAACTTATTTCCTCGCTACAACTTCCATTATTTTAAAGACCAAAAAGTTGCGCTAATTCACTTGTGGTTCACCAGCTGCTACCCGGGCGCACGAAAGACTCCGCTGGCGAAGTGACGCTTAATCGATGCCCCACCGTCAGAGACAGAAATAATTCTCCCCGTTCCGTCTGCCACTCGACGAGTTAAATTATAAAACCTAATTTCGTCGGTTATGATATCCATTTTTAGCGTTTAATTTATGTAGCCGGCAATACGAGGAGTGGAAGAATTTAATTGCTCGCCCAACGCTAAGACAACTTAATTAATTTGTTGTATATTGAATTACGTCGCGTCGTATCTTGCACAGATTTAGCTCCGCAACGACGGCAATACAACAGGAGGAAAAAAAACTGCATTATCTGCGCGTATGTAAATTTAATGAGTCCCACAATTCCAGGGCGGTTCGTACACTTGGCGAAAACAAAGCACAATACGAATTACCAGCGAAGCTGCGACGGAAAGAATATTAGTGCCGCGCGGATATAAAAGATTGAAACGGGGATGGAATTCATTTCCACTACGTGCCTTTCGTTTTGCCTCTGCCTGGTCGCAATGCCTCAACAAAAGGCAACAGAAATAGTCCTTGCATGTATAGATGCATCGGTACAATCCTCACCCATACAAAATTTTAATTACATAAATTACCCAGCAAACTCCTCCACCATAACACCTACTACTCAATGTTTTTAACAACAAATTTAATTTCTTCAAGTTTTTAAGCCGATTCCTCCGCAATAATATTAATTACACAAGTTCTGTATGTGGCAAACTACAACTTAGAATCAAATTACTTATTCTTGCAATTGGTTAGAAACTATACTGGAAACATACTCGACAGCAAAGAAGAATCAAGAGTTGCCAACTGAAGGCAATTAGCGAACTTGCCGTGACGTCGTTAATTGGACACATCACTCATCAAATTGTCAGTTATGACTAACTTATAATGCAAAAAAATAAATAAATCCGAGCGCGAATAATCCATTTGCGAATTACCACGATTGCTATGAATCTCGTTGGAATTTAAGTTGGAAATTTACGATCGCATGCCTGGAAACGGAAGAGGAGGATCATTTTCATGAAAATTAAGTCGCACAGTTACGTAGTTTTTTTCGACGTGTTGGTGATGAAATATGTTATATTATAGTAGGGAAAATGTCAAACATGGGATGTATTTATAGTTTATTTTGTATAAAATCGGATAGTACGGATCTCGAGAGCGATCAGGACATCGAGCCCCTGAAGCGAATCGATAGATTGAAAAAAGACACGACCAGTGGCGTGGAATTCATGGATTATACTAGTTGTTCGGATAGTTTAATTTCCGATTACGGATTCACGGCTTGCTCCAGCACCGAAGTCTCCTTGTATGTTTATACAGGTTAATCGAGTGATAATGTAATAAAATATATACCTTGTTAATAAATGTACCGTACGCTACTGCATCGGAAAAACGCTGTAATCGTCGACTCAGTTTTTACCTACCACGTACGTATAAAGGATTCATACTATTTTGTAAGCTTTAATGAATGCTGTACGGGGTTTTTTTTATTGTACGAAAACCAGAAAAATAAGCGGCTAGTTGACACAGTAAACGAATTTATCGAAAAAGAGTTCGCCCTCGCGGTTTTCGAGCTCATTAATTCCCGTGTTTTGTTGTTTTATTCGCGGGAAAATATTCCGAATACGTTACGAATAAAAAGTATTCACCTCGTTTTATTTGCCAACATCAGCTGTACATTTGCACGGATTTTTAATTAATAAACCCACGGGCTCCTCCAATAAAATTCTTGCATGAAATTACCATGCGTATATGCTATACTTGAAAAAGTAAAGCAAATTAATTATTCCACCTGTTGATGCAATTTTTATCTCTAATAATTTTATAGTCGACATTAATTTCGAGTCTATTATATCTCCGAAAGTAATTATGCTATGCGATGCAGGAAACGAGGACATCACTTTTAATGCAATTTTAAAAATTTACTGTTCAATTAAAATACGCGCGTAAGTTATTAACCTAATTATTTTCGAGTTAAGATCGCCCCATCGACGACGAGCCGAGGAAATTCACGGAGCGATATTCATACGGACTGTATAAAAAGAGTTGTTAACATTTTAATGACTTGTAGGACCCAATAAAATGAACGTTTTCCGCTTGAGCGGCTCTTTTTTGCGGGAAACTCATTTTTTTTTTCGAAGGGAAGTTATCTGCAAACGCACATCGAATCGGAATTAGCGAAATCTTTCGAGCGTTTGCGAAAAAAACCTCGTTTTTGCAAGGCAAAGAATCGCTGGCTTCGCTATTTAGAATAAACTTGAGCGATACCCGCGCTGAAAGGAGCGCCTCGGTTTTTTTTTATTTTCATAAAAGGAATAATTCCGGAGAAAGCTCCGACTTTTATAATTATTTTCCGAGATGAAATACGCTTAATTGCTCTTATATTGAATTATTCAATACCTAGATTTATTTTTGCGGGTTTTAGAAAGATGCGCTTTAATGGCGTCTCCACTAAGAGGATTTCGCTTATTTATCAAAAATGATTTATTTATAATTTTAAAAATTTAGTGGCGGCCCAATTATATGATTTCGATTCATAAATTATTGCCGTACAAGTTGCTATGCAGTTATTTGAAAATTCAAATACTTTTAAAAAAATTAAATTGATTGTAAATCCATAAATAAACAATACAATATTCGTTCACAAACAAAAATGTAAAACCGGTTATAAAAATCATTGTTTGCTGTCGAACAATACAAAAAAATTTCGCGAATGTTATAGACAGATTATTAATTAAAATTTAATGTTTTCATAAAATTTATTTCACTGGTAACCTTTTTGCGGGGCACAATGAAAGTGATGGCTACATTAATTTAATTTAATTAAGTGCGGCTCTTACCTTGAACTGAAGAAAACCAATAAACCAAGTAGACAATCATTAAATACACCGCTTCGTTCATTTTGGTTTCTCCCTTGGTTCTCTGCAAAAAAATAATACGGCAATTAGGAAGGAAAATGGGCATATCGTAAAAAATATTATATAAATATTAAACTCGTTAGTTTATGGTGGCAGTGCGATAAAGAAAAACGGGAAAATTCTTTTTTTCGGCCACCGAAAGGGCAAAAAATAAGGTCAAACGGCGCGTCGACATAAAAGAAACATTTAATAAAGATGTGTTCTGTATCAAACTAACGTTCGGGAAAACATCCCCATTTAGTGCACACGGCTATTGGGGGTTGCTCGACAAGAAAAACCCCCAGTTCATTTATCACACTTAACGACTTCGACCTACCGAAAAAAAAAGCATTAACAAATCGAAATCCATCCGAGCAGTTTGCAAAATCGACCATTTTTCTAATCAATTAAAAATAATCATCCTTCTCTTGGTCGGATAAATAAATACCGGCAAGACATTCGAGTGTTTCGGAATTGTCAATTGAACAAATCCCTTTATTCTCGAGATTTATAAAAGCCCAAGGAATAAGGGCGGCCGGAGTCCTTAACCCCTTTTTAGGGTCCGAATAAGTGGAACCGCAAATTCCCTTTTGTACGTCGCGTTTATTGTCGAATGACAGAAATGCCTTTCGCTCCTTTATTGGGATCCTGGAAAAAAATCGAGGATGATTTTTCATCCTGAATGTACCCTAACAAAAAAACTATTCCTCTTACCCTACCGTCCTACTTACACACAAACTTAACTTCCTCCGCAAAAATTTTCAACACTTCAATTCTTTCACCCAACCACCTTTACCTTTAATTACATAAACTTTGCAAGTTCCTTCATCGTAATTTTAATTAGTATCTACATAAACTCTTTCAGTTCCTACGCTATAATTTTAATTGCATAAGCTTTCTCTCAGTTCCTCCCCCATAATTTTAATCGCATAACCTTTCTATCTACTCCTCCACCATAACTTAAATAACATAAGCTCTATCAGTTCCACTACCATAATTTAAATTTAGCTACGTCAAAATATTGAGTAACTAAAAGAACAATGTTGAAGTTATGGTTTATTAAAAATTAGGGATGAAATGAATAGAATACGGAGGCCAACGGTGAAAAAACTAAACTGGCTCACCGGCCGCAGGAATGCAAATTTCACGAGATAATTCCCGAACAAGTTTCTAGAACTTTTTCAATACCCGCCAGCATTAGAGACAACCCATTTTTCAGGCGAATTTTCGCTTGTCTGAAGTTCGAAGATAACCGCGGAAGGAGCCGGCAAAAAGTTATCACTAAACGAATTGAAATTGAAACGTACAGCTAATTAGATAAGCGGAATCGAGAAGGAGCCTTCTCGAATATCGCCTCCGAGTTTTTTTTTTCTTTTCTTTTTTTTAACCCAATTTTAAGTCGACGTTCCGAATAATTCCTGATGCATACCTAAAATAATTAGTTAATGAGATTACCCATCTCGAGTTTGAGATGAAATTTTCCTGCGAGAAAAAGGGGTGAATTGAATTTCTGCAAGTCGGTTCTACCAATTACATAATAATGAACTAATTCTTAGTTTTAAAGGGTCCGGATATTCGTTGTAAAACTACGCGATGAAGTTTTATAGATTTGAATTTAATAGTGCATAAATATTTATTTGAGTGCTGGATATTAAAAATTCTATCGTATGATAAACATTTTTAGCATAAGTTAATTTGTTGGGGGGACTCAATTTATTCCATTGTGCAGCGATATTAAACCGTTTTTGCTGTTTGAACGTATATACGTTCCAAAAACTACGAATAGTAGATAGTAAAAGCGTATAATAAAATATGTAGAAAAGTCCGAGGGTGAACTTATTGCTCTTTCTACACCTTATTCACAGCGCTTATCGATTGCCATTTTACCATTTCAAGCGCTTCAAACATATATTGCTCGTGTCTTTTACCAGGCGCTCGGGGAAGTGAAATTTGCGTTATTCTGCACCGACAAAAGTATGTTATTTTCGAGGGTATAATATTAACCGAAAAACTACATTTAATCGATACGATTCCCACGCTGCGAAACGCTTTATACCGGTTACGCTCTCGCCATTCTGCGCGCCCCAGTTACGACTTCCTCGATTTCGAAAGGTTGTACTGCAGAAAAACGAAAAGCTCGTTTTTCATGCAGGGCATAATTCAATAAATTTCCGCTCTACCTGCTCGAATTGATATCCCGCCCATATATATCGGTTTCGACGAGGACGTCGCGTCACGTGATATTTCGGCTACAAACTCGGCACAACCCCGGCATCTTCAGTGCCCCGAAAAGCGCCTAATCAGATCGAGAAGACGGATATACAAAAAAATACACGTCGATATTGGATGTGTATAGGCAACCGATACATCGCGACGAACGAAATGGTCCGGGATCAGCTTCGCAGCGACGCCGGGCTCGTTGGAATTCGAGGCGAGAAAGGGGAAAATCTGGCCGAATGGAACGAAGCAATAGAAATAAGAAACAAGAAGTGAATAAATTGCCGTTTGTCGTGTACTTCACATCAATATCCTGCCCCCGCGGCGAATTGTGCCGGCGTTGCAAAATGCAAAACGCCACTCGGCAACAAACCGAACAAATGAATTTTCTATTGAATTTCCTATCGGAGCCGCTGCAAGTGCCAGTGAAAAACCCGTTCGAAGAGAACCCGCTGAAATAATTTTTTTCCTACTCGTGCGTGCGTTTCAATCCCAAAAAAAAATCTGTACACTATTTTCCCTTACATATTATCACATTTCAAAACTTCAAGATGAAGCCCTCATTAAATAGCTCGAACACGAGCTAGTGAAGCAAAAGAAAGCATCGCAACAAAGAGCTTCGAATCCACCTCTTCCGTAAGGAATATTCAATATTTGTAGATGTAGGGTAAATAATAAAATTGGTTAGAACATTGCGTATTATGCCGAGCTCGGATTCGACGTGCTCGTAATTAAATCGGTCGAAAACGCAGATACAACAATTGGATATCAATGCGGCAAATATTTACCGAATGCTGTCGAAAACGCGTCGATGCGAAAGTTTCGTTAAGGTGAAATGAACAAAAAAAAAATGATCGAAGCATCGGAGAAATAAACGGAAACATCTACGTTCGAATGGAAGTAATTGATGGGATGCAGTTGATTGTAAAATATCTCGTTTCCAGTTCATCATTCTCGAAAAGCCTGCACAAAGAATCCGTTCATTAGAATACTCTTATTGTATGGATTCCAATTATGGTGAATTCTCAGGTATATCCTGCTTCTGGAAATTTATTTAAAAAGATGAGCACTCAATAAATGATCTACACACTTAACTACACCTTGTTCGACTAAAAACTCTTGCGACCCGCTTTTTCGCACAACCCGAAATTCTATTAGTACATTCTTTTATCTATAAACCTCGTCAATTCTGTCAATTTTTAGCCGGAGTTTCTTCGTCGACGACGGGGCGAAGGCGAAAAAGATTTCTCGCTTCCGAGTCGTCGACGGGCAGGGATGATTGATGGCTGGAGACTTTAATATCGAGGCCCTTCAAAAGTTTACGACTTTTTATCTGGTCCGGATCTCTGTCTTGGAGGAGTTCCTTATAAATCATAGTCGCGCACACAGAGCTCCGCAGCCGGAATGGTAAGGCACAATAACATAATCATAAATAATATGGTAATGGGCCGAGATCGGGCGGCGTTTCCTCACACGGAAAAGTTAAGACGAAGAAACGAATTCGTTTTTCGTATAAAAAATAGTTTAGTCGATGCGGTTTAATACAAGGCCACTCATGAGGAACATTTGGAATAATTGAATATTTTACATTAGGTACAATAATATTTAACCACTAATTACATATCTCTTTCAATGAAAGGGACTTAAAGGTACCCAAAAAACCTTAAAACGTATAAATATTAACTCTGTATTTCCTCAAAGAAGAGGTAACATAGGCAACAAATGCCAAAATCCATGAATCTCCCACTGATAGATAGTAATAATTTGACATTAAACGTCATGTAAAGTGTAATGTACAGTAAGTAAAGTAAAAGAAATACTCGGAAAATGCCAGACTATTCAAGAAGATCGCCTTTCAAGCGACCGTGGTTGGACGATCGGGGTTTAGCGGCGGCCGAGCAAGGCAGATCCGGCCTAAGGGGGGTATTCGTCGGCGGCATAACCGGCGGCGTGGAAATATGCATCACGTATCCCACGGAATTCGTGAAAACCCAACTGCAGTTAGACGAGAAAGGCGATAGGAAGAAATACAAAGGGATTATAGACTGCGTGATGAAGACGGTGAAGGAGAGAGGGGTGCTCGGTTTGTACAGAGGCCTCAGCATATTGATAATAGGATCGATACCGAAAAGCGCAGTTCGCTTCGGCTCCTACGAAACCATCAAAGGCTTCGTCAAAGGTAACAATCCTACCTTCACACCGGCGCAAAGTTTGCTCTGCGGATTGGGAGCCGGCGTGTGCGAGGCCGTGCTAGCAGTCACTCCCATGGAAATGGTTAAAGTTCGATTCATCAACGATCAGCGATCGGCCAATCCGCAGTACAGGGGCCTGTTGCACGGCGTCGGCACCATCGTTAAGAACGAAGGCCTCCTGGGTTTGTACAAAGGCGTCGTCGCGACGATGATCAAACAAGGCACTAACCAGGCGACGAGGTTTTTCGTTATGGAAACGTGCAAAAGCTACTACAGAGCCGGCGATCCGAATATAGTTATACCGAAACCTTACATAGCTATGTTCGGCGCTTTGGCGGGTCTCACGTCCGTGTACGTTAACAATCCCATTGACGTAGTGAAAACCAGAATGCAGGGATTAGAAGCGAAAAAGTACAAAAACACCCTAGACTGCTTCATAACGATCGGCAAAAACGAGGGGATTTCGGCTTACTACAAGGGTTGCATACCGCGGGCGAGCCGCGTCGTTTTCGACGTCGCCCTTACATTCACTATTTACGAAACCATCATGGATTTCATGAACGTTCTTTGGCCCAAGTAGGTAATGTTTTTTATGTAAATAAAATTTGTAAAATATATATGTCTGTATACAAAACCCAATTGTGATTTTATGCCGCAAAAACATATTCGTTTTTCTCCTACACACAAATTCCCACACTATAAATTTAAGTGTAAACCGTTTTTAGGTAAATTCCTCCACCATAATATCGAAAAACTACGTTTTTTTAACTAGTTCCTTCACCATAATATCGATTAACTAAGTTTTTAATTAGTTCCTCCACCATAATATCAATTAACTAAGTTTTTTTAGCCAACTCATCCACTATAATTTCAATTCTACAATGGTTTTTTTGATACCTCCTCCGTTCTAGTTTTTTGCACATTCCTGCACAAAATAACTTCATTGTATATTCAACAATAAACCTAAATAGAATTTATTCATACGCAACGGCACACCTGCGAACTAACATTGGTTAGTTACCCGTTGACAAGTCACCCTCCGGTGGATATATAACTTCTTCTTGAATTTTTCTCACCGTGCACATTAGCAGACTTTATTTCATCCTGTGTGTGTGTGTAGACCTCTGCGCGTTTGACGTTCGCCAAATTACATTTTCGAGAAGTTTCTCTTAGTCCCTTTCTCGTCGGGAAACTCCGTCGCATCCATTACGATTCTTCTCTTTCTTCCGGGACCTTGTTTTTGAGCCGGTTGTTCGGCGACCATCCATCAATCAACCATCTATTAGTGCCCCATGAATTTCTCGTAATCTACTAGAAATCCCGTAATTGAAATTTCAATTTTTTTTCCGAATTCGCTACCTACCGACTCCAAAAGAGTAACATCCCGATTTCCTTTAGATATTAGTCTTCGAAAACGGATTGTCAGTAATATTAAATTTCCTTCATTAATTCGGAGACGTCTCCATTAAAATCGTATTTGATTAATACCGGAATAATGTTGCCGAACGTTCAATATTTGAAAACGTATCGCCGGAATTCGAGTTTAGGGATACATATTAAGCCGAATGGGAATTCGATGCGATTCACTTTGTTGACATTATGATTCGTAAATACTCTCGATATTTGCAAAATAACTACAGGGAAGGAAACTTATCTCTTATAAATCGCATAAAAACAGATGCGTTTGTAAGTATAAGATTTTTAGAGTGATTTACTCTCACTATTCGATACATTTTAAACAGTCAGTAGATGTGTTTTATTTTATACATATGTTTTTAGTAAAAAAATAATGTATTTACTTGTTTTGCTATAAAGTCGAGTTTCCTATACGCTCTGCTCGAAGGCAACGAAGAGTTAAAGTAACACTTGCCCTATTTTTCCGGGAATTGCCGGAGGACAAGTCATCTATTTAACAATATTCAGCGAGCGCGAGTTTATGTACAAGATGCTCCGTCAAAGAGGGGAAATTTAATTTAATATCTCTTCGATTGTTTACCTTTGGGATATACACGTGCAGTCGAGTCGAACGATGTAATCGCGAAAAAGCTTTCAGCCAATAATTGAATTCGCAAAAAACACTGTGCACTGTATTTTTTTTTATTTAAAGTAGTTAACAGTTAACATATCGATTGAACGTATATGAGCAGTTGAACATGCTGTACTCATTCCCAGCCGTATAATAAATAAATAAATTCAGAATTTGTATTAGATTCAATTAAATAGTTTGCAATCAATCAGTAATTCCATCGAGCTTTCGAATCCAATGAAAATACGATGAAATTTAATTTAGAAAGCACAAAAATAACTGTCGAATTCGTAATTCGAATTCGACGAAATATTCTATTTGAACTAATTTAAGCTGCAGCCTAATGACAGGGCGATAAAATAAATTTTATTATTGGGTCGATTTGTCACGAAAAATACACTCGATAGTGCAAATCCCCGCCTACAATAATGAAATTATATATCGCCATATAATCATCATGTCTCACTAAAACAAATTACAAACGTGTATATGTGTACCAAATAAACTGAATAAAACAGATTCGTACTTGCGATATTTTAATAACGCCTTTTTAAGTCGATCGATCAGTCAATCAGTGACGGCTCCTGATTTATAATAAATAAATTGGGTTTCAAAAGAAACATTCGCTAACGAAGAAATTTGCAATTTCTGCGATATTAAAATCGCTCGTCAACTTTCCAGAATGTTTTAATATTGTTATTTGTCGTCTCAGAAATCGGCGACGTCTCTATTGATCCTCGAACTTGTCAACGTAGCTTTGTATAATGTCTCGGGAACTTTGCGAGTTTGTTAATTCCTGAACAAAATCCATCATTATTCATTTCATTCGCGTCTCGTTCGTCCCCGCAGGATGATTTATAACTGTTAGGTAAAATTCTTCTTAAATTCTGCACGGAGCGAAAGAAACCCGCCGAAAGTTTAGGTGTAACTCACTAGAAACTAAAAAAAAACACGACTCGTAACTCATTTTAATTGGGAAATGTTTGGAAATAAATATTTCCAGGATTCTCCTCCGAGTACGGTACTGGACGACAAATTAGGGGAAAAAACATCCCGAACTGGAAAATCGGTATCTCATTTAAATTCCCTACCAACTTTACGTATAACAATAAAAATCTATTGCTGACAGAATCGATTCAGTTCGACTAGAAGAGCTGGTTTTCTTTCGGATTTGAACTTTAATATTACCGGAAGACAGCGAATGTGACTAGACTATTCCTCCGAGGCGTAATGGCTCACGGTTTATAATTTTATTGGTCCCAGCAATCGAAAAAGTTGCAAAAAAATTACAATAGTAAATACAGCGAGGCTAATTCGTGCTCGTAGAAGCGGAATAAAAATTGTGGTCCATGAAATTTAATAATTATTGTTCCTTGAAGCATCCTGTGCGGATTATTAAAAGTATTACAGGAGAATGGTTTAAATACATTAATGTTCAAAATTAAATTTGATTTACATAAAAGATGAAGGTAACAAATTTCCTAACTGTACGTGTTCAATGAAGAAAATAAAGAAAACAAAAATATTTCTATATAAAATTATTAATGTTTTCTGCAACATTTTCTTGCACGATACCCGAGCGACGGGCATTCGGTATTCAGGAAGCGCAAAACCGTTCCAGTTTTAAAGTTTTATAGCCACATTCGGAATATTTTCGAGAACATTAAATTTAGTTTTATTATTACAACTGAAGTTTGAGCTTTCCGGGCGAACGCGAGCTCCTCGAACGTTTACCAGAAACGAAGGTAATTAATCAAACGATGGGGTTAGATTTTAATTGAAAGTGGAACAAAAGGCGAATCGATGGGAAGTTGCGAAAAGTTTATTTATATTTCCCGAGGCCGGGACGACGCCAACCGGCGCCCATCCTTATTCGTCCTTAATATTGAAAGTTATGTAACGCTTCCCTCATTGCAAATCGTTCGTTAATTGTCTAATAATTTTCGCCTAAAGAACACCCAAAGAAACACGCGAAGGGTTCGAAACTTCTACCCTAAAATGAATGCCTAAAAGAACACATTCAATTTAACGCACTTTATTTTATCTTGTGTATAGTCCAGTTTCATTAATTTAGTTTTAAAGGGAATTAAAAATTTTGCAGGGAATTGAATCCGGGCCTGAAATTTATCTGTTTAGAGTGTTATAATGGCTTAATTTTATCGAAAATAACTATAAAATCAGATGTTAATTACGATTTATAGCGATTGAGTTAATAAATCCATTATTAATCCATCCTGTAAATTAATATATTTTTTCAATTATTGTTTATAATGCATTCATTAAAATAATATTAATAACCGAACAAAGCAGAAAAATAAATAGCGATTTCTAAATTGAATTATACGCTTTAAAAATTTCGCGATTACAAAACTACGAAAATGTTAATTATCGAATATCGATATCGTTCGCCTGGAATATACTCGTACAATCCGGGAAAATAACCGCCGCTATTTGCTAAGATCAAATGACGCGGAAATCGAGACCGATAGAAAATTACTTGCTACCGTTATATACTAGAGCTTAAAACGCGATAAAAATATTTTATTTCCTCCGAATCGTAAATTCACTCTTGGAATCACTGCACCGTGTGGACGTAACAGATTTACAAGACTTTTCGGGACGTAAAATTGCGCTGTACGCCTCCTTTTCTATGACGTACTTGCCAGCATTTTTATTAACACACACCAGTCACCAGCATTGACCCTAAACATCCATTAAATACGAGCGTTCTAATTCAAAGAATTTTCACTGAAGGCTTACATCGATATTATTATAGTGGAGGAACCACAAAGCTTTGGTAGAGGAGATGCGAAGCTTGATTAATTAAAATTATGGTGGAGGGGCTTGCGGAATTTATTCAATTGAACTTATGGTGGAGGAACTAAGAGAGATTATGAAATTTAAATTATGGTGGAGGATGTAGTGAAGTTTATTTAATTGAGGTTATAGCAAAGGAGTTATCTAAGAACTTTTTAAGCGATTCGATGGTGTAGAATATGGTGGAGGAATACTATTCATGTGGGTGTAAGTAAGGAAGATTAGAAAAATTGAAGTATTAAAAAAGATGGTTAGTTAATGCGGATGAAAAATTCATACGTTGCAAAAGCGCTGATTAAGTACGTAATTAAGAATGTACTTTCGCGTCGAATTTTAATTAAAGTCGTCGTGGAAAAATAACGGCTTCATAAAAAACGTAACGCGTCCTTTAATTCGCATTCAGGACGTACGGTTAATTTAGGTTGCAAGCAATGAAACAGTCGTAAATCGTGATTTACGGTGTTGTAATTCTTATCATTCAATTTTGTAAATATCTATCTCTACCGTAACGGCGGTCTGATGATAAATTGTAGCCGGGAAATCTAGCGAATAATAAATTGTGTTGTGAAAATTTTTACAAAAACGGTTTATTTGCCCAAATTACGGGGCGCTTTTCGTTTTTCTACTTGATAACGCGAGGAGCAGTCGATATTTTCGGGATTCGCGGGATTTTACGGCGTTTTATCATACGCGCCGGGCGTAATTTATATAAAAAGCTCGCCGCTCCGAGCTTATAGAATTTGAAAATTTAATAAGCGAGAATGACGCTTTCGCGAAATATTTCAATTACGTTTTTGTTTCGCGAGAAAACGTTAATAACTTTTCCGGGAGTTGTTATTTTTACTCGGGCATCGCCGTTTCGAGTTAATTGGTCGATTGTTCGACTTGAAAGTGTTTTCGAGCGAAGAATCCGGAAGGAATGTCTAATGCGAAACGTAACCGGAATATTCCATTTCGAACATTCACCTATATCAACTACACAATTCGTATTATCATGCTGGTTGCAAAGCGAAAACAAAAAGAAATATCGAATAGGGAAAAAAAACGCCTTTCTGTCGGAACATCCGGCATTCCAGGACCTGTTGAAGCATTCTCTCTTTTTCGATAATTTCCTGCGAACGGGCAAAAAGGGCGGTTTTTTCCCTCCCCTTCAACACATTGTTATTTATTGCTTTCTACTCGACTCCGTTGATTCCTACTGACAGATAAATATTGTTAGCTATTAGGGATCCATTCAAAAATACTTTCTGAACCCATTTAACATATAAATCATTTTTATTTGCGCGAAAACAACTTAATTGTATAAATTTGGCATCGACAACGAAACGCTCTTACGTCGATCAACCATTTTTCTTCGACTACAATCTGCGGAAAACTGTATGCAGAAAATCCGCTGACGTCGCAATCGGTTATTAAAACAGAAAAATGCTTTTCTATCGACTTTCATGTGGAAACACAAGTCGCAGAAAATAGACGTAAGTACCTGCAAGAGCGGCTTTTCGAGACATTCAAATTTGCAATTCTACATCACTAAAGCTTTCTCATAAATATTAAAACATCTTTTAAACATTAAATGTATATAAACTTAAATGAGCACTACTACGATATAAAAAGATATATTAGTTCAAAACTAAATGAAAAGAAATAAAATGTTATATATAAGAAAATAGCATCGTAAAGTAAGAAATTGAGTTTTTGAAATTGAGAACAAACTACACGAAATAGAACAACTGTAAATATTGAAGCGTTTTAAAAGGCAATATTGAAGATTTCGGGAACGATCTTGGAAGACTTTCAATTTGTCGGACAATCGAGCTTCGCTTCTATTTGATAAGCTTTACAACGGCTTATTTCCGGATTGTAATGCGAAAATTTCGTACGGACGATCGAAACACTATAAGCACTTAAAAAATATATATTACGTTGCTAGCAAAGCACATATTATTTATCATCTTCGGCTAGTTTGTTTTATCTCCATTCGCCCGAATTCACACGCTGATTTATAAGTAAACATTAATCTCGACCGTTAACAATAGACCCTCCTATCTGTATGAATAATTTTATAATTCCCCTATGCTTTATGTTTATTAATAGAGAAGCAAGTTTATTTGCCGAAAAAGGTAGCGATGTTAAATGAGTATCCCCCGAACTCGACCAGTCGACCATATAAAATAAGCAGAAATCATGTTAAAATATTGACCGTCATTTTTCAAAAAAAAAACAGGATGATGTATATGTGTTTTGGTTGGAACAAAAAATGAATGTTATTTCGAATTTTAAGCGCACCAAATATTAGAAATTCCTGCTGGACCTGATGGTTTTAACAAGTTTATTAGCCTTTTGATTTCGTGGTATACCTAATACATACAGGAAAGCTCTTAAGTTCTTTGATGTAATCCTGTAGTAGTTACTTCCTGGTGATTCAATCGCAACCAAAATTAGGAAGATTACCTCTTTTGAAACCTCTCCTAATAGACACATTTCCTCCCAAATACTTATATGTTAGACATTCAGCATACAGTCCAGCTTCTACTTTAATCTCGGTTTGTATAAGAGTTAAATCCCCGTTAAATACACTAGTTCTGGTTTACTTTCCATTCACTCTTGCCTTTTATATATTCATTCTAAATGTAGTGTATAAAAATTTAGGTGATTTCGAACGGAAGAAACTCCCATTAAACAAACAAAAATCCCACCATTCGAGTGGATGTTATGTAAAACCCAAGGGTATTTTACTGTATGTTCCGCACCAAAGTTCAATCAATGGCGTTCCCGAACAATGCTCGGTTCTTTAAAAGCCATTCACCGGCTAGAACAGCGAAATAAATGGGCGAATTTATCATGAATGGAATCAATTACCCACAATGTAACGTAAGAGCAGAATGCGTTCGAACCTATTCGTTAAAAATTCGGAAAAATCGGTTTTTCTTCCGGAGCTCGGCGCAAATTAGGCCCGAGAAACTCGATTACCGTTTCTTTAATGAGCGAACGGATCGTTTACGATCGGAAAAGGCGAAATCTGAACGTTCTAATTAGCTTTTCCGGACGATTGTTTCGGCGAGACCGAGACCCAGTCGCATCGGAACCATCCGAACTGAATACATGAATAGAAATCGGGTCGGTCGGGAGCGCGGAGCGGTACCTGTTTGAATACCGGATGAATTTTATGATTATTCCGAATACAGAAGCGAGATGTGACCCAGAAAAGGCGGTTGGCGCGGAACGTGAGAATGTTTTTATTGCACCTTTTTATTAGCGTCACGAACAGCACTGTTCAATCCCATTCAATAGACGCTAAATAACAATTTTTTTTTTTAATTTCCTGCTGCGCAAAAATTCCTGCTAACTACCACAACAAATAGTAAATAAGGATAATTACATTGGCTGATATTTAGGCCAAATTGTAGCCGCTCGAAGTCGGTGCACATATCCACTCAAACCATCGAAGGCACTCACAATTCAACCACCACCCACCAAATCACAAAATAAATAAACAGTTAATCCTGCGATGGTACCCTCGGGGCCCGTCACTTCATAGAGCCGTCAGCAGTCCGCGAGAGCGCCACATGGAGAGGTTAGAAACGCACGCACGCCGCGAATCCGGTTGTTCGCCGCGGCTGTAAAGGGAAGCTTAGAGCTCGAGAGCGCGAAGACCACTGTTAGAGCCAACGGCTGCGCCCGGGTGGAGCCCCCACTCTACCCGGAGGACGCATGGCCGGTGGCGGCGCTCCCACGGCAGGAGCGGCGGGATTCCTGCGGTGCAACCGGCCTACGGAGGAACTTTCCACGCTGGTACTGGTGGGTTTGGTGTGGAATTAGAGCAACAGCAGGAATAGAGTTCGTTGCGTTTCAAACTCGCTCTATCCCTAACTATGCAATTCAAACAAAATGTAAAATATGCTTGTGAGATTATTTATTTGAGTGTTATTAAGTGATAACTATATGAATTGTTGAGGATTTTCTATGCCATTTCCTTGCAGCTGCAATTGTGATCGACGCATGAGCCGGTGGCTTTGCCTTGGAGTTTGCACAAATTGGCGCAAAGGGTTTCGCCGACGTTTAATTCTGCTACTTGAATGGCCAGTAAATCGCAGGATAATCTTTTAGCTCTAGTATGATCTAGAACAATTGAGGATTATAATTAGATGATGCGGTAGTGTGAAATAAGTACTTACTGATATTTTCCTGCGGTTCTTTCACATTCATCACTTCTGCAGCGACGAAATCGTTAATTACCATTAAACAAATCAAAAGGATGACACCGGTGGACTTCATTTTTGTTTGTATAAGCTTCAGTGTATTTCGAATGAACTGAATGCTCTGGTTTAGAATTGCCGAATTTTTATACTAAATTCATTACAATAGTTTGCGTGTTTGATATCTATTAATTTAATATTTAATTCACCATTTGAATTATTTTGTAAATCATGTCAATAAATACAATTATAATATCGTACAATGTGTATAGTAATTAGGTTTAATAAACATAATTGTTTGTTATATATATTTCGAAATTAATTTGATAATGTTATTGATGAAGTAAAATTTTGTGGTAACGGATATGGAATTAAATTTGGCGAATTATGTACAAATTATTATTGTATTATTTTCATACCTACTATACAAGGTGGAGCAAAAAATAATCCTGAGTGCCGCTCCATTTCCAAGAATAAAAAATCAATTTTAAACCTTTTCTTTAACAGCTACTTTGCAATTTAAATGCGTCCCGTAGTAACTTACTTTATATTCATTAAATATTTAACGTATTTTGGAATCGCCCCCGCCCCCACGCGGTCCAGACGCATCGGAACGAGTGCCCGGAGTGGACGCGGCCGAGTCGGTAATGTCCCCGGAGCGATTCGAATTTGAATGGAGATTTTCGAGCGGAAAATAAATGCGAAAAGCTAAAACTCGGCCGGGGTGTTAATGTGATTTTCTTTTATCATCCTCGTCCGGATTTTAAGAGATATAGTATACGCCGAGACCCGGATAAATTAAGATGAAAATTTTTAGTAGTGCAATGAAAACAACATTTACTAAGAACAAGCCTATTTTTACTGTAAATTTTTCGAAAAATTAGCACGTATTAGGTACTCCTTTTTGTGTACAATAATTTGTGTATTAATTTAATAGAGCGGTATTCAATTCGTGTTCTACAAAACAAATGATTTAAAACAGTTAGAGGATCCATTAATGGAGCATAAAATTTCGAATGCACCCTTTTATTGATTTGCCAATATATTTGTTCATTTAGAAGTATTCCATTCGCTTTTTATTATTCATTGAATGTATACACCGCAATTAAAAATATCGTTTTCTATGATGCTTGTGCGCTTTTTGTGTTCCTTTTTTCCGATTTGTTTATCGAAATTCGCTTAAATAATGCACCATTAATGAAATTTTATTAGCGAATGCACTCGTATTGATGCAGATGTATTTTTTACGAGTTTATTTAATCGCTGTAGTAATTATTATTAGTCATATAGTATGTATACCAACATAGGTATTTGGAGACTCAACAAAATTAATATTATAGAGAATTTTTGTCATTTTAAATTTTTCTTAAACACTTCTATGAGATATCGAATCGAACCGAAATAAATTAGTTTTCTTAGGGGGACGCCAACCCCTCGAGTCCCAATCGCTATTTAACCTTACGACAGGTGTACTAGCAACTGACAGATAATTCGTCTACTAATTACATCCCTTCCAATTTAATTAGCAGCAATTATCCTTCCCCGTATTAGATCCAGGATTATCTAGGTATTTCGCTAGAGAATTACATCGGTGATTAAAATTCTAAAAATAATCTTGCCGATAATAATTAATTTACGTGTATTCGTATATCTAACAAGATAATCATTCGGGACATAATGATATAAATTGAAGCAATTGGAAATATTAATACACATTTCTTAAAAAATGATCGGCATTATTTTCTTATCTTACATCACTTCTGTGGTAAGTTAACACATTAATATTAAATATTTTTTATTATTAATGCCTGTATAGCTTTGCGCAGGTGGACCGATGGTTACCCTTCCTGATGGTCCCATCGAAGGACTCTTGGTAAAAACCCTAAGGAATAAACTCGATTGCTACTCTTATATAGGTATCCCGTACGCTGCGCCACCTGTCGGTAAACTCAGATTCCAGGTGAGTTCCGAAACTCCTAACCAAATAATCGGTAATAAAAAAGACATTTTAGGCGCCACAACCGGTTGCACCATGGAAAAGCACCTTCATGGCTACCGATAACAAGAAAATCTGCTGGCAAATAAGCTCTAAAGTTCATTTACCACAAGACGAGGATTGCTTGACTCTCAATGTATACACACCAGCGGTAAATAAATACCAATCATCATCATCAAACATCGATTTACCGAAGCGTATTTCAGAAACCTGGCGAGAGCAAGGGTTTACCGGTAATTGTATCGATTTACGGTGGAAGCTTCACCCACGGTTTCGCCTCCGTCGGTCCGAATGCAGGCAGCAACTACGTCGAAGCTGGCGTCATTTTGGTCACATTCAACTACCGAGTGGGCCCGTTCGGTTTCCTTTCGACCGGAGACGAAGTGATTAGAGGCAACATGGGCATCAAAGACCAACTGCACGCCCTCAAATGGGTGCAAAGAAACATCCACCTCTTCGGAGGCGATCCGCAGAAAGTCACCATACACGGTCAAAGCGCTGGATCAGCTTCTGTTACTTATCACATACTCAGTCCGGCTTCTAAAGGTACGAAGATCACCAGCATCGAAATGTGCTTTGTAAGGAATATTTCCAGGTCTCTTCAGAGCGGCGATCGCTAACAGTGGCTCAGCTATAGACAACTGGGCTAACATAAATGGCAGTGCTTTGCACATAGCCAGAGGAGTAGCCAGAACTATCAAAAGTTCCATGGGTTGGAATAGTACTCCTCGACAAATTTACGACCTACTGATGAGCGTCGATGCAGAGACCATCCACTCAACTGGAAAGTACTACGCGGTAAATAAACTAGTGACCTGTTTGTTATTAGTAGATATCGAAAACGCGAATCTGTTAACAGGGTTTTGCTCCAGTCGTTGAAGCTGAACACGACGGTGCTTTCATCACAGAATCGATGTACGAGTTGGTGAAAACCGGTAGATTCAGTAGAGTACCTATAATGATCGGTTTTAATTCCGAAGAATACATTAGTTTAGCTAAGAGTAAGTCAAGCTACACTAAAACTAATTTGTTTGTTAATAAAGTTTTTATTAACTACAGATCCTGCTGCTGTAGCTTCGCTTGCTAAAAAGTACGACGACAATCCGATAACTTTGGTACCAGCTGACATGAATGCGGATCCAAATTTAAAATCGAAAATTGGTTCTACCATAAAAGCTATCTACACGGGAGGAGCCAGTTTCGCTGAATCAGGCGGAGCGCCTGTTAGAGTATGTTCAATCGCATTAATTAAACCTCTTTGGTCAAACATTGTTTGTAGGTGCGAAGTGATGATGCCTTCATCAGAGGTACGATTAGATTCGCTCAACTTATGGCTCAATACGCGGACGTGTACATGTACCAATTTTCCTACCATGGAATCCTCGGAAGGAATAATCTTACTTGCGAAGGATGCGGAAGAGTAGAACACGGTGAAGATGGTAGATATTTGTACTCTGGAGATTTGAGCAAGCTTACACCGTCGGATGCCAAAACTGTGCAACGTTACACCGGTTTCTTCATTAATATGGCGAAGAATTTGTGAGTTTCTATTGGCTAATTGGATAGATTGAATTATTGTTTGCTGAGTTTTTAGGAATCCTACGCCACGTAAAGAGGAATTGAACCAAAACATAATTTGGCCGAAATTGATACCAGCAAATTTGAATTATTTGGATATCGACGAGAATTTATCAATACAAACGAATCCTCGAAACGGTACTTACAAAAAGTGGGTAGCTGTTTACGATAAATACGCTCAAGAGCCTTTGTTATCTTATTAATCGCTTACGTGCATTCAAAACATACAAAAATATAATCTATAACATTCCATTTGTTTTAATTAAATTACCTACTTTGTATTAAAATGGAAAAATTTTTGTTGCTATTGTGTTGTTTTTCTGCAGTGGTAAGTTCTTTCACTCTTTACCTAATAGTAGAAATTATACTATAGTGTCGTTTTAGTTTGGTGATGGTACAATAGTGCAATTACCCAATGGAAAAATTCAAGGCAAAATCGCTTATACATACATCAATAAAATCAAATTTTGGGCATTTCAAGGGATACCATACGCAGCTCCACCAGTGGGTAAAAACAGATTTCAGGTACAAACACCCTCTATAAACTTAATTATCTCTACAAATCCACATTATTTAAGCCACCACAACCTGTTGACAACTGGAATGGTACTCGTGCTGCAACTCATTCACCAATATGCTACCAAACTGGTTTAAACCACAAAGATTCTGGAGAAGATTGTTTGTACCTCCACGTATACACACCAAAGGTAAACTACAACTTAACTAAATAATTAAATAAACATAAAACTACTTTAGGAACCTGGTACTAACTCGTCCTTACCAGTAATGCTGAATATCCATGGTGGTACCTACAGAAGAGGAGCAGGTTTTGCTGGGTACATTCAACCCCAATATCTTATGGAACACAATGTTGTAATAGTATCGATTAATTACAGATTAGGACCATTTGGTATAACATTTAATTGTACCTATTTATAAAATATAATAATCGATACAACTTTTAAGGATTTTTATCCACCGGCGATAAAATCATACCAGGCAATATGGGTTTAAAAGACCAACAATACGCGATCAAATGGACCAAAAATAACATTCACCTATTCGGCGGAGATCCCAACAAAATCACCATAATGGGCCAAAGCGCCGGATCAGCTTCAGTCACCTACCACCTTCTGAGCCGATCTTCATCAGGGTTATTCCGAGCCGCCATTGCCCAGAGCGGGTCAGCTCTGAACACTTGGGCTTTCCAGCGCCATCCAGTAGACACGGCCTATGGAATAGCGGCGATGATCGATCCTAATTTTTCCAGAAACAAATCCACCCAAGAATTATCCGATGTTCTGATGAACGCAGGTGCTGAGGCGATACACGCCACAGGTTCAAAGTACAGCGTGAGTTGATTTATTGACTCTTATTGAATCGGTTATTAAGTTTGTTTTGTAGACTTTTGCTCCGGTGTTAGAAGTTGAGCATGATGGTGCTTTTATTACTGAGTCCATGTACCAAAAAGCAGCAGATGGGGAGGTTAATAAAGTTCCTTATTTGGGTGGAATTTGCTCCGAAGAAGGAATCATAGTTGCTACAAGTACTTTCACTGGTTAATTTTTTTTTGAATGACTCTGATGATATTATTTTTGGTAGATATACATAATTGGGAAAAAATCGTGAAAAAATTCGATGACGATGCCAGAAATTTGGTAGACGAAGATATGTATATTGATGATGATTCCAAAAAACTGGAAGCTGGAAATGCTATTAAAAAAATATTTACTAATGGAAGTTTACTGGATCATATTGGCTCTTCAGTGCAGGTTTGTTATGTTGTTAACAATGAGATTTATTTTGAACATTATTATTTTTCTAGTATCAAACTGACAACAGATATGTGAGGGCGCCGATTAAATTCGCAGAGCTTGTATCTGAGTATATCGACGTGTATTTTTACCAATTCTCTTATCATGGAAAATTGGGTAAAAATACTCATTTAATTGAAGGTATCGGGAAAGTGGGTCACGGCGAGGATTTGAATTATTTATGGGCCGGTCACAAAACCTTTGACGGATTTCCGGAATCTGACGTGTTAACTGTGAGGAGATACGTGGGATTGTTGACGAATTTTGCGAAATATTTGTACGAATTCTAACTTAGTTTTTTCGAAAAATATCTGTTATTATTAACGCGTATTTCCAGGAATCCTCTGCCTGAGAAATCCGACTTATTCCAGAACTTGACGCTGCCTAAATTCACTAAAACTCGCAAAACCTACCTGGACATCGATAAAGATCTAACCATCAAAGAAAATCCAAGGGAATTTTCGTTTCAGAAATGGGTTGACGTTTTCGAGAAGTACGCCAAGAAACCCCTAATATCCTTTTAATAATTTCGTGTGAATTAAATGGCTTGTTCCATTGAATAATTTATACGATTGTACATTGAAAACAATAAAAAGCAAACTGCGCTAAGCTTTTTCAGTTACTGACATGTTGAGTTATACAGATTCTCATTGACTCGATCAATCAGGAGACTCAAAACTGCAGCTTTCGCTACAATCAAAATCACATGACTTATTCAGTAATGGGTAGAATTGGGGTAAAAAGCGGCTGTTTTTATATTGAATTTGTATATTACATTTGCATATTTCGTCTGAATTGAATTCAAACTGCATAAACCTAAATATTTATGCAATATGAGGGTATTTAAAAAAGTATGAATGAGGGTATAAAATAGGTAAAAAGTATTGTCCGTTTGTATGGAGTGGTGAATCCTCTGTGCACCATATTAAAACCTTGATCCCGTTACAATAGTGATGCTCGCAATCACGATCACCGTGCACATACAAACTTAATTGGATGTATCAATCATTATTACAAATATCGCCAGAAATGGACCGATTGTGTGCCGTAATTGGGACATTAAAATCCCAAGCACTATTCAAATTTATGACGGGTTTTTTAATAAAGGTTTCCACTTCTCTCTCGTTTTACACAACACTAAACAAAGGGATTGAAAATGTAGGTAGCAAAACATTCACTATGAATTTGCAATTTCACCGTCTGCTGAATTCTTATGAGCTTTTAAACCTCATTTATGGCCATCTAATCGAACTACTGTAAAAATCTAGTTGAAACTGAATTAATGATAATACATAGAGCATCGAGAATAGCGCTAAAAATCGACACTATTTCCGCTCGAATTCGCCCGGAAATTCTGCGGTACTTGTCACGTCTTTCGAATTTAATTACCATCATTACCCGGACCATTTACTGTCGATTTCGTTTTGCATTCTTCGAATTTATTCCTTTCTTGTCCCGGGCGCGCCGTCTTTGTTCCGCCGCTCGAAATTATGCCGAAACGTCGGGCTTTTTTCCAGCTCTTTTTGTCCGGAACGGATGAGATTTAATTGCTGCGAATTTTGATAAAAGATTCATTAGCGACGCCGAAACGGCGACGTCGCGAAATTAAATAAAAATAAGAGCTTTTAAGGAATATACGCGAGGCTTTTCTTGCAATTGTACTCGAGAGTGAGCGCAAAAAATATTCATCCAATCGACTTGATCTAGCCTAAATCTAAGCGTCTTACATCTTCTTATAATAGCCTTTTTTTCGCTCGTTTTGAATTTAATTGCCGTGAATGTTGATAAAGGATTCATTAAGGATACCGACGGCGGGACGTCGCCGGGTACTTTCCGGTTAAATAAAAATAATGGCTGTACTTATTAAGGGCGGAAATAAAATAAATTATATTAGGCGGACGGGCTCAAAAGGTCCGGAATTTATTTTTTCGATAAAATTTTCAGACAGCGATAACGCTAAAAGGCCCGACGACGATTAAACAGCCCGGAAGCGAAAATTGGTTGAGCGCAGGGAAATTCTCTTGTTGGGATATACATATATATTTTTCGGGAATAAATTGACTTTATTTGACGGCTGTACGGGTGTAAATCTCGAAGAGATCCAAACAGAATTTGTAGTAATTAAATTATTCAATAACCCATGATCGGAATTAAAAGATTGTATACAACAAAAGTTACACATAACGTAAATATTTACAACTCATATACAATTTAGTTAGTTCATCAAATATTGTAGGTTCTAATGAAATTAAATCTATCATTTTCGTGAATTTCGATTTGTACAAACAGTAACTCCATTTTCGTAATAATAATGAGTCTGTTCGGACCGTACAAACATACATAATAGTTTTCTGTGGATTCAGATCCTGTAGAATCTAGCTAAAATAACACCAGGCGCTTTATACACTTGGCCTGCAATTAAATCTCAATTCCTCCACAATGCTCAAAGTCTCATTAAAATTAATTACGAATTAGGTTTCGTTGAATCGAAAAAAAATCTACCTAATTATTTTAAAGTACAAAAATAAGTGTTTTACGTGCGTCAGAAAAAAATGTTATCAAATAATTCATTATCTTTATCAACAACTTCAAGTAATTTACTAAAAACATTTAATTCCAAATAACCATGTTGTGCGTGTTAGTAATACTTTACATAATACATTCGGTGCGAAAATTTTACATAGTAATCTACTTCGATCGATTAATTTCGTCTATTTACAGGTAATTTCCACCGGCCCGGTAATCACTTTGCCCAGCGGGAAAATTCGCGGTCAACAAGTCCAAGCGCGCTTCGATAAAAATCTGCTCTACTACGCCTATCAGGGCATTCCATTCGCTTCTCCGCCGACAGGAAAACTCCGATTTTTGGTAACGAAATTCCACCCGTTTCGTTTTAATCGAGTCGTTTAATATCTGATTTCAGCCGCCGCGACCGGCAAAAAATTGGAGCGGCATCAAGGATGTACTCGATAATCAAATATCCTGCTACGCCGTCGACGCCGAGGACGAGCATTTCAGCGAAGATTGCCTTTATTTGAGCGTTTATACGCCGACGGTAAATACTAAATACCGTTAACGCTTTAGCTAATTGAATCAATTACGTCCGCTAATTAGGCTCCGATGAACAACACCAAGTTAAATGTGCTGGTGTTTATTTATGGAGGGACGTTCCTGCATGGACATATGACGTACGGTTATAAAAAAGGAGGGTTTCTGATGCAGGAGGATATAGTATTAGTAACGTTTAACTACAGAGTCGGTCCTTTTGGTTTTTTGTCTACTGGTGATACAGTTATTCCTGGGAATATGGGTTTGAAAGACCAACAATTTGCTTTGAAATGGGTTCAACGGAACATCCATTTATTCGGAGGAGATCCTGCTAAGGTCACCTTAATGGGCCAAAGCGCTGGATCAGCTTCTGTTACTTATCAATTAATAGCGCCCAGTTCGGCAGGTGAGACCTATTCCTGATACACTTTTCTCTACAGATCTATCCTTATCATTTTTATATAGGCTTATTTAGAGCAGCAATAGGCTGTAGCGGCACATTCCTGTGCCCTTGGGCCTATCAAATCCAAGCAGTAGATACAGCTTACGGTATAGCAGCAGAAATAGACCCACAGTTCACCAGGAATCGAACGTCGCAGGAACTGCTAGAGTTTTTGCAAGGCGTCGATGTCCAGGAAATAGTCAAAACTAAAAATAAGTACAATGTATTTTCACCTGTAATCGAAGTTCCTCACGCCGGTGCTATCATTTCCGATGTTATGTACGATAGAGCTGATAAAGGGATGTTTAAAAAAGTACCAATCTTCATGGGGATCAATTCAGAAGAGGGAATTGGATTAGGCAAAAGTAATTAACATGTAAGTAATGAAGTATGTATCTAATAGTAAATTATTTTAGATATCACTTCATTGTTAAAACGATTGGAGAACTACGATAAGAATCCTCGACTTGTAGTAAATGATGATATGTATATAAAAGATGATGATGAGAAATTGAAAGTTGGTAAAGATATTATTAAAATATACGTTAAAAACGGTACACTCGAAAATAACCCACCCAAAGGAATCCAGGTAAAAAAATACAAGATAAAATCTTGATTACCAAATAATTTCCGCTCGATTGTAGTTATACAGCGACGATAGATTCACAAGGGGCATCATAAAATTCGCCGAATTGGTAGCCAAACATACGGATGTATATTTCTATCAATTTTCCTATCACGGGGAGCTGGGAAAAGCAACAAACAACGTCACCATACCGGGTAATGCATACAAATTTCAAATCCGCATTTAATCCCCAAGGACAACGAAATGTTTTTTCAGGCATCGGTAAGGTAAAACACGCGGAAGATCAAAGATATTTCTGGTCGGAGCACGACGATTACGGCTCGTACCCCGCAAGGGACGTGGTAACGGTAAGGAGATACAACAAGTTAATCGCTAATTTCATTAAAACATTGTAAGTAATACGACGACCCACTTTAAATTCCATTTACGAGTAATCGCATTTCCTTTTCAGAAATCCCACTCCGGTGGAAGATGAATTATTCCAAAACGTAACGTGGCCGAAAGTCGCCCGAGATGAATTTCCGTATTTAAACATCGATGACGATCTGAGCGTGCTGAGGAATCCCAGGAATTTTTCATTCGGCCACTGGGTTGATTTATTCGAAAAATATGTACCTAAACCGTTCATTTCTTATTGAAATCTATATTTCTTTTCATTTTGAAATAAAATTACAAGCGAATATTTCTATTATTCAATTACAGGTAATTGATTAACTAATTCCTGTTTAATAAAACGTTAGTGGATAACTATACAAAAGAATTTAATTTAATTGACTTTAATTGTGTCAATATAAACAACAAATTTGAGCTCATTTAGGCGGAAACCTTGACCCAATGACTAAGGATTCTGTATTAGAGCTATTAACTCGTCTAGATGGCACAATTTGCATTCTGAATCAGCTTGGGGAGACGCTTTCATTAATTTTATTGTTGTTTTTTAGGAAATAACACATGAATCACATAGTATAATAATGAAGCCCTGAATTAAAAAATATAATGCTAACATGGTAATCAATTTAAAAATACTTGCGATAAAAATTTCTAATACTTGAACTTAAATACTTAATTTTTAATAACGTGTAATTTATCATGTACTGACAAGATAATACATCTGTTATAATACCGTTCGAGAGAAATTTTAATCACTTGTCGACGAAATGTTGCTGTTTATAATATTAAATGCGCTTGTTTTACAAGTAAGTTTTCTAGAAAAATATGTTAATTTTAATTATCGATTATTTTACTGTAGGTACTCAGTAGCGATCCCATTATTAGTCTACCGAATGGGAAAATTCGCGGGGAATACGTTCGATCGTCGTTGAACAAAAATTTCAATTTCTACGCCTATCAGGGAATACCTTTCGGAGAGCCGCCTGTCGGGAAATTGAGGTTTCAAGTAAATTAATAGGTCGATAATTTAGTTAATACAATTACAAAAAAAAATCTTCTTAGGCTCCTCAACCGGTTAAAAATTGGGAAGGAATTAAAGATGTCAAAGACGGTCGAATTTCTTGCTATGAAACGGATAGAGCAAGTCCATTCGCTAGGGAAGATTGTTTGTATTTGAACGTATTTACACCAGCTGTGAGTAGATTTTTCGATTGGAAAAAGTTATTTCTAATGAAATACATTTTTAGGCTCCAAGTAACCGTACGAAATTGGAAGTACTAGTTTACATCTACGGTGGTATTTTCATTCATGGAAATATGGGTTATGGTCACTTAAGACCATCGTTTTTAATGGAAGATGACGTGGTTGTGGTCAATTTTAATTACAGAGTAGGTCCATTTGGATTCCTCTCAACTCTGGACACTGTAATGCCGGGCAACATGGGTCTTAAAGACCAACAACTGGCTTTGAAATGGGTCCAAAAGAACATCCATTTATTCGGCGGGGATCCGAAGAAAGTCACCATAATGGGCCAAAGCGCCGGATCAGCTTCTGTTACATTCCAGCTACTATCACCCGGATCAGCAGGTATAATATTCCCTAATTTATCTCTTTAATCCCGCTAAAATATGCATGCATTCAGGCTTATTCAGAGGAGCTATAGGATGCAGTGGCTCAGCCTTGAACGATTGGGCTATCCAACCTAATCCTCTAAACACAGCGTACGGAATCGCAGCTGAAATTGATCCTAATTTCACCAGAAACAAATCCACACAGGAGCTGCTGCATTTGTTACAAACTGCTGATGTTACAGACATTACCAAAACATCCAACAGATATCGAGTAAGCTTAATTTATTACCTTCTTATAGGACAATCTGAACTTGGTGTGTTTTTAGACTTTCTCACCGGTGGTTGAAGTCGAACACGAAGGAGCCTTCTTGACCGAACTGATGTACGGACTTGCGGAAAGTGGAAAATTCAACAAAGTTCCCGTGCTAATGGGATTTAATTCCGAAGAATCCCTAATTAGCGTGAAAGGTAAGAAAGTATCCAATCATCAATCTCTTTTAAACTACTAATGAATGCCGACTTGATTGATTTCTTATTAAGACGCTGACACCTGGATAGCATACGTTAAGAAATATTACGACAAAGATCTTCGAACTTTAGTGGATAACGATCTTATCAGCGTCAATGATACACTAAAGCGTCAAGTGGGTCAAGTAATCAAGAGGATTTACGTTGGTAATGGTACATTTGAAGAAGATCCAGGTAGAGGTCTTCAGGTAAAAACATTCCTTGTACTGAGGTACTTTTATTTGATAACTAGCTATTCTTGTAGCTGAAAAGCGATAACAGATTCATAAGAGGCATCATAAAATTCGCCGAATTGATTGCTAAGCACGTTAAGGTGTACTTCTACGAATTTTCGTACCATGGAGATATAGGAGGAACCAAGTTCTTTTTTAATGGTAAGTTCGAGGAGGTTCAAAGAAAAATTTATAGTATACAATTTGTATCCAACAGACACCGGGAAAGTAGCTCACGCAGAGGACCAGAGATATTTCTGGACGTATTTCACGAGTTACGACAAATTCCCCAAGAACGACGTAACGACCGTAAAACGCTACAACAAACTTCTCGTTAATTTCATCAAACACTTGTAAGTGCGGCGTCCGTTAATTAATTAATTAACAGAAGAGATTAATTAGTTGAACGGTGGTTTTTTTTAGGAACCCCACTCCCGGCAAAGACGAATTACTCGAGAACATAACGTGGCCCACGGTTACCAATCAGCACTATTATTATTTGGATTTAGATACTAACTTGGCCATTAAGGAAAATCCGAGAAGCTTCTCCTACAGGAAATGGGTGGCTATATACGAAAAATACGCCAAAAAACCTTTTGTTACCTACTAAATATGATTGTATAAATGCAAAACATTGCACAGCACGTGTCTTATTCCAATAGTAATTAACTCAATTAAAACTCACGCGATAAGTGGAGGTATATACGATGCGTGAGGCGAATTTTCAATAATTACGAGCTTAATTAGTTAATTGCGAGAGATCGTTATTCACACCTACGCGGAAATATCAGGATGACACGTAGAAGACGGCGGTATATGAATAATACAGAAAACCCTGTCTAAGATTACGTTCACGTTTAATAACCCAGCCATTTTCTCCCGTCACTACTAAAATTTAAAACGTTTTTAACATCATCTTAGCGAGTATTTTACAGTGCAATACACTTTTCGATTTTAACGCTATTCGACTAGTCAAAGTATATGCGGAAATTTATTAATAGAACGTACACCGTATCAGCAATCACTGCGATATATCCCTGCTGGAATTTAATTGCACTCGTGTCTAGTCTTGGGCTGCTCCTAAAACGCGGCAAGTGTGTGTATCATTAATTATACTGGTTACTTACTTCAAAGAATACATTTAGGTGTACGGCAGAGACTTCGCTAGACAACTCCTGCTAGGAAATTCTAATTACAAAAGAAACACCACCGAGATGAAAAATGGGTGAGTTAACATCGATTCGATTATTTCTAATTCATAATTTATCGATGCACAAATAGGCGAGTTTCTCCATCTAACGAAGAGGAATCCTCTCACGGTTGCAGCAAGCAGAAACAAAAACGATTGGTAATCATCGCTCTAGTTACCGGCACAGTTCTGCTGGTGATCGGATTATTTTATCTGGGATTTTCCGGTAAGCAAAATCCGCGAAACCGCCGAAGCTCTCCCTTCGACAACGTCTTTCGCTCGTACGTTTATTAAACGCTCGATTTGACGCGATCCAATCGCGCGGCCCTAATTCGATTAGACGCCATTCGATACGAGCACGCTCGAATTACGGTCCTTCTGGTTCGCAGCCAAAGTGGAAACCTGCGATACAACGCAATGCATTCGCACCGCCTCCGACATCAAGAGGCACATCGACAACGACGCCGATCCCTGCGACGATTTCTACCGATACTCCTGCGGCTCGTACCGGCGCCGCGACGACCTCGACGATCCGCGCAAGAGCGACTGGTCCCAGGAAGATGCCAGGAATGAGGAGGTTTTACTACAAATCAGGTATGAGAGGATCATGAACAAAACGATCAGGTATGAGGTGATTTGGTATAAAGTGACCAGGTATGAGGTATTCAGTTATTTGGTGAACTTCTGTAGGAATTATGTGACGTGATCAGGTGATTTATTAGACTATATTGGACTCGTTAGTAGTATTGGATATTGGAGAAGATTAAGGAAAAGAACCAGAATAAGTGTCTAAATAACAGGGTGGCTCAGAACTCACGCCTCGCAGGGAAATCTCTTATGGGAACGACAATGGAGATGCCAAAACTGCAGTCGAAAGCAGGAAAAAGTTATTCCTTTGGTAAATAAGGGGGTTCAAAATCGACCAATCCCAGTAGGAGTTCAAATCCACGGAAATGACGTGAATTAGCTATACACCAATTTGACATTATTGAAAGATTCTATTTCCTTTACACTTTACACTCAAGGTTAACAAAAGCTGCCAAAATCAGCTGTGACTATTGATCAAAGATTTGCTTCCAAATCGATCATTCAGGAGCTTCGTCGTGCTGATATCAAACCTGCAGAATTTTTTATCGCTTCAAACGTGGTTCGAATCGAATGATCCATTTTTTGATCGATTTTAAAGCAAATCTTTGATCAATAATTACAGCTGATTTTGGCAACTTTTGTTAACCTTGAAACTGAAAAGAACATAGAATCTTTCAATAATATCAATTGGTGTATAGCTAATTCACGTCATTTTCGTGTATTTGAATTCCTACTGGGATTGGTCGATTTTGAACCTCTTTATTTACCAAAAGAAAAACTTTTTCATGTTTTCGACTGCAGTTTTGGCATCTCCATTGTCGGTTTCACAAGGCATTTCCCGGTGGGGCGTGAGTTCTGGGCCACCCTATATAGTGATCATCACCAAATGGATATGGTTCATTGGAATCAATGAAGACGCTTGAAAAAATGATGCATTTGAAGATATTGAATGCGTTATTGTAGAGTGTATTAATGATAGAACCTAAACAAAGTGTTTATGTTTCAGGGACATGCTGCAGGGTCCGGAGGATTTGGGAGATCCCAGATCGTGGAACGCTGCGAAGAGGTTCTATCGCGCGTGCATGGACGAGTCGGCGATCGCCCGCGAGGGATTAGGGAGGATGCGGGACGTTCTGAAGTCGATGGGCGGCTGGCCGACTCTCGCGGGAGACGATTGGAAAGAGCAGAAGTTCGATTGGATGGAGATGGTGCATAAACTGAGAGAATTGGGGTTGAATTTCGACGTGTTCTTCCGCGTCGCCGTCGAGAGGGACGCCGAGCGCCGATCCGGATACGTACTGAGCGTAAGTGTTATCGTCGGCGATGTAACAGTTTTTTTTTATTCTGTTAGCGTTGTTGCGCACGTACCGTTTCGTTTTCGATGGGGGGAAATTGCAGTGGAACGCCGATTGTTGTCGAATTTAAGGGAATAAATACTGCGATTAGCCCGGCTTGGAATATAAATGAGGTTGATTTTGGAGTTTTCCTCTCGTGCGTCGCGGGGGTTTCGTTACAAAAGAACTTTATCGGCGAATAAAAACCGCAATACCAGTAAAATTTGATACGGAGACGAGACTTATATACGATAGCAATATAATAAAAGAACGGAAAAATACGGAAGTTTTAGAGAAAACGTCTAGCGGAAGATTGCATAAACAATTTAATTAAATTCCTTTATAAGTGAATGCACGACGGCGAATTTTCCCTCGAGTAAAGCCAAATAATCGCTTTCCTCTTCGATAATAAATCGCAAATTCACCGTTAATCCCATTTACGTATACATCCAAATGAAACGTCCAGACGGACGCCATTCGATTCCAATCAGAGCAATAATTCCCAAAATTGAGTTTCCAGATACACGAAATACCCTACGATGAGTTGGAGTTTAGTTCCGAAGTGAGTTCCATGATCTCTGAATATATGGTCGAATTATCCCAACGATTCGGCGCCGCTCGGTCCATCGCCAAAAGAGACGCCAAAGAAGTATTAAGAATTTATCAAGAATTAGCTAAAGTAAGTTCACTTCGTACTTTTGATGCTCTACATTTAATCTACTGTACGAATTCAAGGATACCAGAGAGGCGCGTTCACGATCTCGCTTATCGGATTTAGATGAAAAATTAACATTATCTGAACTACAACGCAAATACCCCGATATCAACTGGCACTCCTACCTAAACGGATTGCTAAAGCCGTCCGAACGAATATCCTACGAAGAGGAAATCCTCGTCAAACGACCCGAATACCTAAAAAACATGGTGTACTTCCTGGGCATCACTTCAAAAAGGTACCGAATCCATCAAAAAATATTACTCCTCGCGCCACGAAGTGATCGTTTTTTTTTTCGCAGGAATTTAGCAAACATAATCTGCTGGCACGCTTTGCAACAGCTAACCAACTACATGCCGGAGGAAATCGCCCGGAAGGCGTACGAACTCCTCGATAGGATAAACGGGGAAATGATAAATTTCAGAGCGCCGCGATGGAAAACTTGCGTCACTGAAACCAAAGCGAGGTAAGCGCGAATTTTTCTTCCTAAATCCCTTAAAAAACACCCAAATTTATACAGGAATATATAACCCAACTCTCTGCAAATCTCCTATTAGGAATCACCCTGTACCATCGCATTTTTTCCAGACTGAGCCCCGTGCTAAGCGCGGCTTACATTCAGAAATTCTTCACCGAAGAGACGAGAGACAAAGCCATGCAGATGACGCGATTAATCAAGAAGCAATTCGAGGAGAATCTACGTAGAATCGACTGGATGGATGAGGAGACCAAGGAGCTGGTTATTCAAAAATTGCACGCCAGCGGCGAGCAATGGGCCTCCGATTATCTGTACGAACTGCTGGAGGAGACTAAAGTTTTTGGCGAGGTGGGTAAGTTAAATTTACCTGTATAAAACGCCGACTTGGACGTGGACTTTTCGTTGGGAGTTTTTATTTAATTTCAAGGTAGCTTTTAACGAAACTAAATTTCTGGATGCGGTTCTTCGTTTTAACCTGGTTAACTTGCATTTGAACCAAAGCAAACTGAGAAGAGCCTACACAGAGGATTCCTACAACGACATTAATTTCGTATCCGGCTTAAACGTGAAATATTCCCCCACTGATAATTTATTGAGTGAGTAATTTAAAATCGACACTTTGATTTCGTTAGCAATCAAAGAGTTCGTAAAACTTAATTATAATGCACTTATTTTTTAAAAGCCCCAAACGCAAACTTACATTTACTAAACTTCTAACCCGAATTCCAATCCCAACAATCCAATTATTTTGAATAGCTAAGTTCTAACACCGTTCCTCCGACGTTCGCACCTACGCCGCCCCAACCCCCATAACACCTAAAGCACAACTTGCACGGTTAAAATTTAACGGAAACTGAATGCTAATGACGACGAGCCGATGAACTCTCGACGAAAACGGGGACTTTATTGCAGCCTTCCCAGTCGGCATATTCGGCGGCGTCTATTACCAAAACGACCGGCCCGAGTATATGAACTACGGCATTCTGGGCGCCGTAATTGCCCGCGAAGTATCCCATATATTCACGAGGGCGCAACACGGAGATTCCCCCAGCGGGGAGCTCAGGAGCTGGTGGTCCACTAACAGTCTGGCGAATTACGCGGAGAAATCTCGATGCATCGCCGAACAATACAGGCAGGAATGCCACGCGAATATTGTAAGTTTTGTTCCAAGTTAATTAAGACTTAAGGAGGCTACGTTTAGGGTTTTTCAATTTCGAAAACGTTCCAGATGTGCTCGTCGAAGATGAACGAGGAGCACATGGCCGATTTGACCGGAATAAAAGTGTCCTATGAGGCGTACAACGCTTGGATCCGGGAGCACGGGGCGCAACCGGTGCTGCCGGATCTGAAGAGATCCTCGTCGCAGCTTTTCTGGATAGCGACGGCCATTAGGTATTGCTCCAGGGACCAGGCGGGCGGACGTTATTCCCCAGCGAAATCGCTGGTGAACGTACCGATGCGGAACTTGGGCGAGTTCTCGTACGACTTCGGTTGCACCAGAAACACCGCCATGAATCCCGATGTTAAATGCAAAATTTGGTAGATTTTTTTTAGAGATTATATCAAGTACCTAATTAGTCAATAAATGTATTTTTTTAAGGGTGTGATTTTATCGATGACCAAATTAATGAGGTTTTTATTATCAAATAAAGTAGATTTGTTCTCAGAGTGATAGATCTGTCACCAACTTATTGACATCAAATTATTTCAAAACGATTATCTGTAAATTGATATACAATCACCCGAAAACGTAAAAAGTTTATTCTTTTATGCAAAACATTTTTGAGAGTGTATATAGAGGGTGGTCCGTAAGTAATGGTCCAAAGTGAAGGGGAAGATTCAGAAGATACAGAGTGTCAAAGTTGAAATAAAAAAAAAATATTTGTCGCAGCACTTTGAAAGAATTTAGATGTACAGAAGTGAAAATTTGAAGACAGGTGTTACAATACATGAGAAATCATAATATGATAAAAACAATTTAACAAAAGACATTTCAATTAATAAATGGCTAGTGGCTTTTCAACTTTATATATAATATGCAAAACATTTTTAAGAATGTATATGTATAAATATTATCTCCACCGGCCATGATAAATTATTCGAGCTGTATACATATGTACCTATATTTCTCATATTACTATTCCAAGGAAACCTATACCTGGAAAAGAAAACTATAAAATAATTAACGAATCCTATTATTTTGATAACTAAATGAATTACTTGATACTAATATATTGGCGACAAAAAATAGAATGAAACTTATGTTGTAATAAGGTGTCTGATATATTTTATTTGGTGACAGATCTATCATTTTGAGAACACAGTTATTATTCTGAACATAATAAAGATTCTTTGGGCATAAGTTACGATGATTATTCGTTTATTTTGGATGAAAACTGTTACACATTTGGATACATATGTTTGGAGACAAATATACAAATCTGAGAAAAAAAATATTTCTGGGATTGAAACTAATAATCAGAGGATTTTGTTTGATGACAAATATTTATTTTGGCGACAAATAAAATTATTCTCTTTTTTTAATCATTCTATCACCTCTACTGCTTCTCGATTAGAGTGTAGTTTTACAACATAAAAATTTAAATTTGGTGTTAACTGTTAGGTGCATTTTAATGAAAAGCATCATCCACCGGGAGAAAATCAGTTAGAGCTCATCCGCTTCTAAATAATTCCGATCTCATTACTCGCGCTCCTTTCCCACGACCGCGTTTTATGGAAAAACGAACGCAATACACATGTGAACGCCAATTTCCTATCGCGTCTACGTTTTGCGTCCGTTCGTGCGACGCATTTTTTTTTTGTAGGTGTAATCAACGACCGGGACGAGTGCTATCAGCTTTTGACACATTTCGACGGCGACCGTCTCTGTCCGACGCGCCGCGACGTCCCTCGGGAGGCATTAATTGAATCGACGGTACGGAAAACCGGCCGAGAAGTGAAGAATGCCGTGCCTCAAAATGTCGTTTATTCGTTCCACGGGATGCAACCGAAACGGATAAGCGGTCTTCGTAAATCGGGTAAGAAAAATTTAACTCGACGGGTATTTATTCCATATCAAATTATACCAAAAAATCGCATTTGCACAATGCAGTAATCTGCAGGTTGAGCGATAGGATAGCAAGTGGTATTATAGAGATTACAAACCGGTTCTACTGTTCCGTTTGAGAATATGAGTGGTATCGTATCGGGCTTGATCGAGGAGTACACTCCATTTACCAGTGATAATGGTATCAAAGCCTGGAGTGCCATCGAAAGAGCGCGATTATTTCTTGTGAGGGGTGCTTAATGAATCATTCGAAGCCTCTCCGTCGGCGATTTATTTTCGTGTTGGGTTTACTCGAAAAACTAGAGTATAAAGTAGATGTAATATCGAATATACGTAGAGAAATTCTTGGTATCATTTTGTGTGCTGCAGTGCCGATATTGGTATAAATACAATTTATGTCTATTGCTCAATAAATTCGGAGAACGGGCGAAAAGAAACCGGCCGAGAAGCGCCAACAGGACGATTTTTCTAGTAAGCATTCAATGCGCCCGGTTTTATATCGTTTTTATCGAATTTGTTTTAAATAATCTACACTCGGAAATCCATTTTCGGAATCTCGTCGGACACAAGTGGCGTTAAAATATTAAAAAAAAAATGGAAAAACAATTTCTCCGCGCGGCGTTCTCGTTCTTATTCGCATCTCCAGGGATCCCGAGATGATGGCGAATCTAATGTAATTCCGTCGTCGGTGTCATATACCTGGAACAAAATATTTCCCGATGAAATTTTGCGAGAAATTCAATTTGTTAATATTCGTTGCCGGTTCCTTCCGAGTTCCGGGGGGGATCAACGGCGAAAGGGAAATAAGGTATGTATACCGTACACAAGTTAATTGGAAGAGACCTTCACGCTTTTGAATAAAGCAAAAAAAAGCATAATAGAACGGATAAGGATATTGCGTCGTTGTTTTATTAACGTTTTTTAATCTCCATCGCGGCGGAACCTCGATTATTTTTTAATTTTAAATTTTCGCGATTTTTACCCCTACCTGTGGGCTGCTTTCAGGAAGGAAAATTGCACGTGCTTGAATAATAAATGTGTACATACCTGCAAACCGCCGAAAAAAAAATTCGCAAGAGATTATAAAAGTTGAAAACATTCGATTTAAACGTATAAGGGCTCTCCCTCTTTCATCATACAACATTACCTTAATTCGCCTCGAATGAAAATCATTAGGTGTACATTTTCATTTTCGCTTTTGCTCGAACAAACAAGTCGCTAAAGGTAAATACTTAAATAGATCAAGAAAGCATCGATCGCAAGCAAGATGTTGATATTTCTTTGGTAGCCATCTGATTGATATTTCGTTTGATATATACGTGATTCCGAGAGGGTTTCGGATTCAATGCGGAAGTGAACCGTGTATCAAAGGAAGCCGATGCTCGGACAACATTTAGAATTTACGGAATGAAAAGTCTCAATATAGTTACATATAGATATTGCTTTTAGAGAATAAAAATTTACTGGAATTAGTTTGTACTCGATATTGGTAAAAGTTAGGAATAAAACGCGCACTGGCGTCCCCTCCAGCGATCCACGTCGATAAAGCACAGTTGTTGCTAACGGATAAATTCAAAAGTTCGCAAGTTTATCGATCCGCCATTCGAAATAATACGAAAGATACATGCATATTCTCGGATATAACAATACTTGTATATCAGCGTAACGAGCGAGACTAACCACCATCTGTCAGCAAGTGGCAAACTTGAGCTATAATAATGCAAAAGGACTGCTTCAGCTGTCACAAAGTCGGAAAATGAGATTGCAGAGCGCCATCGAATTGCCGAGACGTTTAATAAAATTTTCCTTTTCGGTCGCGATAAAGGACTCTCTCGATTCCGAATCGAACATTTTATTAATCGATGATTCTTTAATATCCATATAAACCTAAATTTAATCGATACAAAAACTGTATAACGTACACGCTTGTTATATACATGTCTTAGGGTATAAGTAGATTTAATAATGTATTAACAAAATTTAATAACTCCACTTGAGTATTTCGATTATCCGATTTGGCTCTCGTAGACTTATAATTCCGGCGAAAATTCGTTTCTGTTTATCATTGCGTGCGGTAGAAGCAGGGCTATTACTAATCCCGAATCGAGTGTTTTCGATGGAGTTCCTCTCGAAGATTACAACGCTAACCAAAATGCGGACAAATCACCGCTCCGGTTAAGCCGAATAACCGTCAATTTCTGCAAGATTTAGTATTCGCTAGGACGGTTCGATTGTTGAAAGCCATTCGGACCGTATCATATATACAGAGAGCTAGCTCCGATTGATTTACGCGCGTTTCATCGAGCACTAAAGCGCTTCTACACCTGCATTTCGTACCGTTTTTAATTCGCTGCGTGATTAGTGTACATTCGGCGTAAGAATTACACATTACACGGAAATGCGCGTTTCACGAAATTCAGCTAATTAGGAAAGCAAATAAAACGGGATTGTTTCGACAGTCCTAAGTAATCAAAACGAATCATAGCAGCTGAGTGCGCCAGCAGAAGTTATTACCTGCGGACTCGGGACGTCGACTGGAGTTACTAAACATTTAGCAGTCGCTATTCTAAGCAGGAATCTTGTATTAATTTACTATACCAACGGGAAATTATGGTTTTTAAAGTAATGGTGGAGGAACAGGATTTGCAAAAAATATAATTTGAAACTATATAGATTGTCTAAACATTGGTGGAAGGAATGGTGTCAACAATCGTGAAATTAGATTTTTTAATTGTGGTGAAGGAGCTGCATTAAAAAATCCGACAATTAGAGAAAGAATTTGAGTAAAAAATAGTGAAATTGTAGGTATTAAAATAATGCTGGCGAAACTTGTAGTAAAAGAACCGACAACCAAACATCACTAATATTTACTATTTTAGTTCGACATAACAATAATTCGAGTCTATAATCAGCGACTGGGATTAATGGAAATCTCCCGGCTTTTTTTTTGGAAAATGGTCGCCGCATCCGGTCTAAGTAATTTCACGCCTTTTTGGGGCCCGGCCACGTTTTAGCGATTGTATGTTTCATTGATTCGTTTATCTTTGCTAGTCCCCGAAATTTCGACTCATTTGGGCCCGGTCAAGCGAGAGGCATCCAGTCAATGGCTAATTTATGTAAGGGCGCGGATAAAAAGAGACTTCTCTTTTTTTGCGCTCCTCTAAAAGGGATCGAGCCATTGGCGTGCCGATTACAACCCCGCATATCCACGATATTACTCCGCTAAATAAATTTCCGTATAAGTCAATATATGATCTCAACTAATCATTGGAATAATAACTCTTATTGTTGAGGGTTGGGTTGCAGTTAGGCTGTTGATTAGAGTTTGAGATCCCGTTGAAGAAATTTTTCAACGCCCCGCTGAAGTGGATAATAGGGAATTTTCTTCGGAGTTAAATTGAGGGTGATGTTTTGAACGTTGTCCAAATCGCATTAATTGGACGATCGGGTAATTGAGCGTGGGAGCCGTAGTGTCGCTAATGGGTCTTTTCGTGGATTATTCCTGC